CGCGTCCTGCTTGGCCGGGGCTGCTGACCGGACAATTGACGTGGCATAACTTTTTTAAATTATATTTTGACCTCCGGTTTCCGATTTTCTTTCAAAAATACCCCCAGAACCCAAATTTTCACTCCTTTTCCCCAAAATTATTTTCAATTAAATCCCTAAACAATTTTTATCCCTTTTTTTATTATTATTATTATTATTATTATTTCTATTAAAATAAATTAAACTAAATTAAATTCTATATAAGATTACATAAATAATAATTATATTCATACAATAATAATTAATAAAAAGAAAAAAAAAAGGGTTGGGTCTCCCCCCTTAAAAGAAATTTGGTTCCTCAAATTTACCTCTTACTATTGATCGAACAGCTGGAGGTACTTGACTCTAAAGTCTGATTCTAGCTCCTACGTGACCTCCCTTGGTGTGTGGTTCTACCATACGACCTTTACAAAGGATATTTTTCAGTTGCGGAATAATCTGCTCTTTCGATCCGTAATGGCGACCGGTACTTCCTCGTAGGATAAGTCCTCCTGGAGTGGGAGAGGTTCGTGGGCCAAGACATGAGAGGGGTCCGGGTTGTACTTGCACAACATAGACACATGAAATACATTGTGGACCTTTGAAAGCTCTGGAGGTAGTGCTAGTCTGTAGGCGGCGGTACCAATCATGTCTAAGACTTTGAATGGTCCAATAAATCGGGGGTTTAGTTTTCCCCTCCTGCCGAACCAACTAATTTTCTTGGAAGGAGTGACCTTAAAGAACACCCGGTCGCCTTTCTCAAATGCTAAATCTCTCATCCAGGTGTCCATATAACTCTTCTGTCTGCTCTGAGCCGCCTGAATGTTCTTCTTGATCTTAACTATCTTGGATATAGTCTCCTTTACTAGCTCCGGGCTGAATAATTTTCTATCGCCCACTTCTTCCCAACAAATCAGTGATCTGCATGGACGCCCATATAACACCTCATACGAAGCCATGCCAATACTCGCTTAGTAGCTGTTATTATAGACAAACTCTATCAGGGGCAGATAGTCATCCCAAAGGCCGTCAGAGTCAAGGACACAAACTCGAAGCATATTCTCAAGTGTACGGATTGTCCTTTCTGATTGTCCATCAGTTTGAGGGTGGAAGGTAGTACTAAGGGACAGCTTCGTTCCCATGGCTTGCTGAAAGCTACTCCAAAATCGAGAAGTGAACCTAGAGTCCCTCTCAAACAAAACTGTCACTGGAACTCCATGTAATCTAACTATTTTCTGGATATACATTCTTGCCAACTTGTCCAAGGGATCGGTCATCCTGATGGCTAAGAAGTAGAAAGACTTGGTAAGCCGGTCAACAATTACCCAGATGGCGTCATGTCCTGAGCGTGTCTTAGGTAACCCTGTAACGAAATCTATGGTGATATGTTTCCACTATCACTCTAGGATCAGTAAAGGCTGAAGTAACCCACCTGGGCGCTGATGCTCTACTTTGACTTGCTGACATACCAAGTATTTAGACACAAAGTCAGTTATGTCCCTTTTCATCCCATTCCACCAAAACCGGGGTCGCATGCTTTGGTACATTTTGGTGTTTCCGGGATGCATGACAAACTTTGAGCTACTAACCTCTGTCATGATGTCTCTCTTTAACTCACTGTCACTTGGAACACACACTTTATCCTGAAATCGGAGTAACCCATTGGCGGAGACTCGGAATTCTGAGCTAACTCCTTGTTCTGCATTGTTCTTGAGAGCTACTAGGGCGGGATCAGCTGACTGAGTTTCCCTTATTCTCTGGATTAACTCAGGCTGGACGGTCAAATGGCTCAAACATGTGACTCTACTCAAGTCCTGAAGTCGAACCTGTTGTGTAGCCTCAATTTGCCTGCATTCTGAGACCATCACATGGGTTAAGATACCTGCATTTTTTTTGCTGAGTGCATCGGCTACCACATTGCCCTTACCCGGATGTTATAAGATATCACAATCATAGTCCTTAATAAGTTCTATCCACCTTCTCTGACACATGTTATGATCCGTTTGAGTGAATATGTATTTCAAACTCTTGTGAACGATATAGATCTAAAAGGTCTCTCAATATAAATAATGGCGTCAAGTCTTCAAGACGTGTATAATTGCGGCAAGCTCTAAGTCATGGATGAAATAAATTTTTTCATGACTCTTTAACTGTTTGGACTCATAGGCTATGACATTTCCATGTTGCATTAGAACATAACCCAGGCCTAGATAGGAGGCATTATTGTAAACTGTATATCCCCCCGATTCACTCAGTAAGGCCAGCACAGGTTCAGTAGTCAGCCGCTTTTTTAGTTCCAAAAAAACTTCTTTCATAGTCCTCATTCCACTCAAACTTGGCATTCTTCTTTGTGAGTCGGGTTAGGGGAGCCGCTAGACTAGAAAATCCTTCAACGAACCTGTGGTAATAGCTCGTCATTCCCAGAAAGTTACAGATTTCTTTAACTGATGTCAATTTCTCCCAGCCGAGCACCACTTCAACCTTTTCAGGATTTACTGATACTTCATCCTTTGATATGATGTGCCCCAGGAAGGCGGTCTGCTCAAGCCAGAATCCACACTTATTCAACTTTGCATACAGCTTCTTTCTTTTGAGAACCTGCAAAACCTGGGCTAGATGGTGAGCATGTTTCTC